TTCTGTCTGTGTGTGTGTGTGTGTGTGTGTGTGTGTGTCTGTGTGTTGGGGAGGGGTCGGTGATATTAGACACATACAAAAGAACATTTTAATACCTTCTCAACCAGTATGCTGAGAATGCACGAAAAAAATATTTAAAGGAACCCCAAACCATTTCCCACGAAATTATCAACATACTTGCGAACGACCTTTGTTGTTTTAAGAACAGTCTGACATGTACATTGTAAAGCGTCGACTTGAAGCAGTTTACTTCATTACCTGAATTCCATACAAATCGTCTTTTAAATTACATGTATATAACTTCCACAAAACATTGCTTCACATTCAATGTTGTAAATGTTAACTTCATATAAATACAGTGCTTCTCTAATGCTGGGGATGGATTTAAAAAATCCGAGGCCATTTAGCATGCTTTAAAAATATTATAGATCTAGATCTAGATGTTTTCCGATTAAATATCAACCGCTCATGCTATACTTGTGCTTTTTGCTTTGAGCGCAAAGACAACACATTGGTCGTTCAAGTTCTCTTGAGAAAATGAGGAGTCCGCGAGAAAAACGGGCAAGTTCAGAAAATGTTAATGAAGATCGTGAGGAAGTTCATACTTAAAGCTTGTACCTCATAAATGTTCCACTGTCGATTTATTGCAGCTATTCGACTTCCGTTTCAAGTAACAAAATTAATAAACCAATTACATTAAAATTTAGAAAAGCAAACAAAACAGGGATGAGCCCAAAGTAACCTGCTAGGAAAACCCTGACAAATTAATGGGTGATGGGGAAAGACTAAGATAAAATAATTATAATACAGGAGGTTTTTCGCGGAGCTTTCGAGAAGAAAGATGAATGAATATTAATTCCTACCAAACTGAAAATGCGTATTGTGCGACGCATGCTCATATGACCTTATGCAGTTGCAGCGCTGTGAAACATTTACCAAAAAAAAAAAAAAAGGGGGAAAAAAAATAAGAATAGAAATTCATGATCGCCAAAGTCTGTTTCACATCCGGCATTTGAGGATTATGAATAAACCAGCAGTTTAAAAGAATCAAAATTTTGACCCTACAAGTTCCTAAAATCGATATCCTCACGCCTTCCATTTTGTGACTTTGCCTGTTTTCCCCGTGGTCTCCCTGAGTGTTAAAAGAAAGACTACCTATCCATTACTTTGAGACAATGGAACAATCCTTGTTGTACCAGACCAGTGGTTTACTCGTCTGACCACCACTGTGCCCGCAAAAAATAATAGTGGTCTATCTCCAGCTTTGGTCAAATTGACCCACTTCACCTTCATCTTCATATATCCTGTACAAATACAAAGAGTTTTGAGACAGACTGTAAAACAATTCCCGACTCCAAACCAGTGATCTAGTTTTCTAATGATTGTCCCTACTTTGATTGAACGAACAGTAAAAGTAAAGTATAACCCCCCCCCCCCCTCCCCCATCCTGAACTGCTTGACCTAAAGCACAACTTTTGGGATCATTATGGAGGCCACAGCTGGGTTTCAGTTGTGTCCTTTAACAAGTGCACACTCACTATTTGATTCATTTGATTCTGTTGGGGCCAACCAGATTTTCCTTCGTAGAAGAGCAAAAGCTATCATTTTAGCATAATACGAACGAATCTAACCTTGTTCGGGGGTTCCCTTCAAATCAAACACGTTTGTTTTTCAAGGTCGAAGGTGGACCCGGGTTGAATTCCGTCATACAGTGTCAAAATGGTTAGACTTTTCCTCACCATAGAGGGTGATCTGACTGGCCTCGACTGAATCAAATGAATCAGATTGACAGTGTGCCCTGGCTATTACATAAGCTCCTTCAGAGCCTGACCCAAAACTGTTTTGGGCTCTTTGGTAGGATTGTGGAGCAGGCCTGACAGTGAAAGAGTTAAAAGGAAACAGTAGTCTGTAGTAGTTGTTATGCTCCAAGACGTGTGTACGTTTTGGGAGGGCGGGCGGGGGAGGGGTATACTTTACTTTTACCCGGACGAGACTTTTCCCCACTATTTCTCCATCTCAGTGATTGCTTCTATCCAAATGCCGTTATCACACTCCTCCCCCCCACTCTCACTCTCCTCCGAGCTGGAGCTCTGACGTCTGAAAAACCCGCGCACCAACCCCAGCCACGACCTCCCAGAACCGCCAATCACATGAGGGCGATGACCGTTGCCATGAAACAGACGTCGCTGATTGGCTCGTCCGTCGCCGCTTCCGCTTCCGCCGCCGCCATTATTTCCGGTGAGGATGTTTATGCCTGCGGTGGTGTCGCTGTTTCTTCTGTACTTGTTTTTGCTGTTGTTCCTGTTGCTGTCTTCCTCGAGCTCTTCTGCAGACGTGAGCGGCTGGTAGTTGTGGTGGTGGGGGAGGTGTAGGTGTGAGCCCGTGCGGTGAACCAGACTGTCAAACGACGGGACGGGGCTGATCTTTGTCACACCTCCGAACGTGACGTAGGGAACCTTCAGCTCCATCTGCTCCAGGAACGAGCGGGAGTCCTCGCAACGCTTCAACTGTAGTAGAGGGAGAAAGAAAAGAAAAGAAAAGAATGTAATTCGCATTTCCATTCTTTACAGCAAGCTCTATGGGCTTTACAATGACTATTACCCCCAGCTGGCCCCAGAACGGTGGCGTCGGTTGCCTTGTGGTTGAGCTACCGGACTCGTCATGGTGAGGTTGCGGGTTCGGGGGTTCGACCCTCAGCTCGGCCCGACATTGAGTCCTTGGGAAAGGCTTTTTTCACGAATTTCCCATTTGGCTTGGTCCTTTTGGAGACGGGCATTAAACTTGGAGGTGCCTCCATTTAAATAAACTTTCAGTGTTGATAGAGGCGTTAAACCCATACCATTTTTCAAAACAAGCCCTATGAGCTTTACAATGATTATTACCCAAGCTGACCCCACGACACACGAAAACATTCTCGGCTCCGGCTACCCGGGAAGCATGCAATGCGAGCAGCAGATTTAAGTGCTGAAATGCTAACAAAGTGACAAGAACTTTCACGGTCTATCGCCGGGTATCAATCCCTCACCCCTGGGTGAAGTGAGGACAATTTGTTGTGTGAAGTGCCTTTCCCAAGTTCACAACATTAGCTACAAGAGGATTAGTCGTGTATTTTTTTCTTCTTCTGAAACAAATGATGTGTGTGTGTGTGTGTGTGCGTGTGCGTGTGCGTGTGTGTGTGTGTGTGTGTA